TCTGTCTGTCTGTGTCTGTCTGTCTGTCTGTCTGTGTCTGTCTGTCTGTGTCTGTCTGTCTGTCTATCTGTCTATCTATCTATCTATATCCTTGGCAGCAGAGTGACTGGCCATGGGAAAGCTTGGACGAGTCCTGGCTAATGATTCGCGGCTCGTGACATCATCGCCTGGCGCCACTACTCCTTTCCGAGCCTGCGCATGGCCCCCAGGTGCACTGTTGCCCGATGCTCGGCTGCTGGGGCAACTGGGCTCGTGTGCCATCGGTTCGCCACCCCTGGCCTAGACCAAGGCTACCGTTGTGTTGGACGAATCTGCCCCGCTCTGTTAAACTGGTGCTTGCAAGCCCTTAGGGGCTGAGACGGGCCTTTTTGTGCTTCCATCATGAAGCACCATGATTGTGAGAGAAATAAAGGGTTGAGGACAGCATTGTTTAACACAGAGTTTCTGCCCCGCCCCCCCGCCCCCCGCTTAGCCAAAATGGATCCCAGGGCGGGCTACATTGCACTGAATGGCTTACCTTGAAGACTTTGTTGATCTGGTCTATTTCCGACTTCCCTGGAAACAGCGGCTTCTGTGTCAGCAGCTCCCCGAAAATGCAGCCCACAGACCACATGTCGATAGCTGTAGAGTATTCCTGGAAGGGGGGGGGCGGAAGAGCGAGGAAAAGTCTCCACGCTGCTAAATTTGTGGGCCAAGAGCCACAGCTGTGATAGGTAAGTACCGAGGGACAAAGGCTGGACCAGGGTGACGAAAAAGCATGCAGGGAATCCGGAGCAGCGTGCCACGAGAAGCGATGGGACATGTCGCAAATTAAGTGACCATGTTGCACGGCAACCAACCCTTTATGAATGTCAGGAGTTGGACAGACCTGGCTTTTCGCCCCCTTGGCCTGCAACCTGGCCCGAGATTTGGCTAAGGGACATCTCTGGGCAAGAGGGTGAGCCACAGATCCTTGCAATACCTAAATCCCAGAGGGATGGAGGCAAGCCCCAGACTGGAGGTTCTACATCCCCAACTCAAAATTAGCAGAGCTGTTTTATGACCAACTAAGAATTGGGATCCGGGTTTTCCAGTGTCTTGGCAATCCTATGAGGTGGGCTGAGCCGTGCACTGAAAAATTAAACACCAAGACAGCGCTTTATGGCTTTGATTCTGGCTCTTCCCAGTTGTGGCCAGATGCTCTCACAATAACGAATTCACACACGATCTCTCGGCCACAGTAAAAAGGACAAGCCTACGTAAGTTTAGACAGAAAGAGGCCCCTCAGCATGCCTCTGCCCCAGCGATGCTGGGGACGGAACGAGGTTTTTCTGTTTGACCTTGCACGGGGTTGCAGCCAAAGAAGCCAAAGCTTACATGCGCATCCCAGATTAGTGACAGACAAGCGTGTGCCACTCCTGAGTCGTTCGGAATAGTCAAACCCTGCAGGAAAAGGTTTTTTAAAAAGAACTCGTAAGAAACGGCTGCTGTGAATCACAAACCTTGGCTCCGAGTAATAGCTCAGGTGCTCTGTACCACAATGTCACGACGACAGGCGTGTACGGCTTCAGAGGCGACCCGTATTCTCGAGCCAGTCCAAAGTCTCCAACCTGAAGCAAGAGGAACGCAAGAATATTAAAAGGGCTGGGCCTGATCCAGTCTCAAAGGGCCCTGCTCCTTTGGATCTTGCTGCTGGCTTTCATACCCCACAACGAGGTGCCAGCCACCAGCACCAACTTTACCAAAGCGACTGAGCCTCTGGATCGAACTTAGAAGGTTGCTGTGGACCTTCTGGAGCCCCCAGATCAGCCTCGCTCAACCTCAATGCCATCGAAAATAGAGGGACTGACGCTGGGTGGGAAGCCTGAATGATGGCCGACCTTGCTCGTTCAGAACAGGCAGGCCCGGTCAAAATCTACCGTGCAGAGCTTGGCTGAGGCCACAAAAGATTTGCCTGCCTAGACCCTCGGCTCCCCTCTAAGGAAGCTGACAGAGCACTTACTTTTAAAATGCCGGCGTGGCTTAACAGCAGGTTGGAGGTTTTCAGGTCCCGGTGAAGGATCCAGTTGTCATGGAGATGCTTCACCCCGTGCAGCAGCTGAATCATTAGTGTCTTCACTTCCCCTGGAATAAAAGCAGCAAAGATCTCTGAGGGTGGGAGAGAGTGGCGACCTGCCTGCATCTTTCCAGTCCAGTAAGGGAACTGGTCCCGTGCCTTGGGATTTGAGACAGGTCCTACCTGGCAGGAACGGCTGTTTCATGGTCTCCATGAGGCTCTTGAGGTCATGTTCGACGTAATTCATTACTATGTAGATTTTGTCCATGTTGCTGCCAACGACAATTTCCTGCAAACGCAGACAAGAAACTGTGGACGTTCTTAGAGGTAGTTGGCTCCCCTCGACGCCATCATGGCACCTAAGCTCAGCCAAGTGGGCGTTCCTGACCATGCTACCCATGTGCCACACTCCAACAGCATGTAAGAGGTGTGCTCTACTCAGCAAACAAGGGGCGGCAGGCATGTTCTTGGGAGGCAGCTCTGATGGGAAAGTTTCCCATGGGATTGGGGCCAAAGCAGAGCAGGATGCACTGAACCTCAGGTGTGGGGCTGGCCCAGATGGCCTCGCTCCACCCCCACCCCCACCGCACACCTCTGCCAATCATTTGGTGTTTCCCTGACCTTTGCGTTGAGAAAAATCGAACTATGGCTTTGCTCCTGGAACATTTAAGCTAAAATAAATTGTCCCTTTGAGTTACGTTTGGTACTCTGGCCCTGTGCTAGGAACCTAAGGGGAGCCTGCAGGATCAGACCAGGGTCTTCTTGCCCAGCATCCTGATCACACATGGGCCAAGCAGTTGCTCCAGTGGGACACCTGCGGGCAGGAGGCGCCTTCGTCCCTGCCTCCCACCTTAGAGTCCCCCCCCAGAGAGCTTCTCTGAGATTGAGATCAGAGCTCAGGTTGAAAAGGAATCATCAGCGTCACTGCCCTGAAGTTCAGAGCCCCAGTGTGGATTCAGGCTCTAGCGCGCGCTCTCTCTCTCTCTCTCTCTCTCTCTGTGTGTGTGTGTGTGTGTGTGTTTGTATGCTGTTCCCTTGCTATATAGCCTCGGGATGGCTCACAGAAATAAATAAATATTGTACCAATACAGTTAAAAGCCTGGAAACACCCTGGCTGCACAATTAAAACCAATAAATATTAAACATTGTTAAAATATTGTTTGAATAAAAAGGTCTTGGCCTGGCGCCGAAAAACAAACGATGACGGCGCCAGGTGGACCTCTCTGGGGAGCACATTCCGCAGATCTAGCCCAAGCTTTCCCTTTTCCAATGCGGTGATGGGGCCAGAGCTGGCTGAAGAGTGCGGGATGCGTTCACAACAGGGAGAAAACCCACGCAGGGCTCTAGCTGGCCGCACTCGATCAAGTGTCCGCCGTCTTACCCTAACCGTGACAATGTTCGGGTGCTGAGCCTTCAGGATGGTGTTGATTTCACGTAATGAGGTAATGGGGAAACCTTCCTTCTCCTTCTCCATCTTCAGTCGTTTCAGTGCCACAATCTCATCTGGAAAGAATCCCGTGCCGTTTGTTAATATTGGCAATTCTGGCGGGGCTGAACAGGAGCCCGCAGGGCAGACTCCCACATAATCCCATTTCACAGAGGGGTCTCGGACAGAGTGTCACACAAAGCCGGAAGTCCCACGGCTGCTGATGCAAATGAGAAGCAAGACAAGGGGAGCCAAGGCCGGACAGGGCTGGTTTATGGGCACACGCGTGTGACAGGCACGTGCAGCACCACAACCTTGTACCCAGGAACTCCAGAGACGGCGCAAGGAGCCTTCTGGTTACGGGACATATGCCCTTCCTTTAAAAGAGAGCTCTTCCAAAGCGCAGGCTACAATTATCAGTGGCAACCTCCCGCTGATGGGTCTTGAAATAATAACAGGCATGGCAACAGCAATTTATTTCTACACCACTCAGCTCGCTCAGCAGTTTACAGGAATGTAAGTGTGACATCTACAAAGTCAGCCATAGCCAAAAAAGCAACAACAAGGCAGCGTGTTGTGTCGACTGGATGACTAAACAGCGCACTGAAAAGAAAAATTCCTAGCTTTTCTTCGGAAGGACCACGGGGGAGGAAGTGAGCAGGCCATGAACAAGGGAGGATTCCAGAGAGTGCTGGGGCCAAGACTAAAAAGACCCTGTTCCTTGGCGTGGCCACCTGGGACCCCACAGATGATGGCACTTCAAGACGGGGGGAAAGGTTAAGGAGATGCTGGCTGTACTGATGCCAGAGGGGTCTTTCGAGGGGCGAACTGAAGGACGGTGAACAAGGGCCGGCTCTCCATGCACAAGGTCTCATGGCGAGGACCTACTACTTCCAGGCAAAAGGAGTGAAGAACAGATGGTGGGAAGGCGTTTTCTGCACCTTAGACCCTGAAGGGCTCCTGCCGGCCAGGGCAGGCAATTCCAGGCTGAGCAAGCTCATCTCTACTGAGCACTCTAGCGGAACTTTGCGGAAGACATGCCAACCTGTTTTTTTATCCTTGGCTCGGTACACGACGCCATACGTCCCCTCCTCAATCCGGTTCAAGCACTGAAATTCCTCCACGCTGCGGCAGCCCTAGCGAGACGACAGAAAGGCACACATTTCCCCCGAGTTTGCATGAATTATCCCCTTTCCATGAGTCACGTGGAAGGGCGGAGAGCTGCACACTGCAATTCGGCAACTCCTTCACACTCCCAGGATTCTACCACACTGTCTGCTTCACTCCCATAGGGGCTAGAACTTTGGTTCAAAGATATTTTTTAAAAAGGGGGCCAAGAGGCTTTATTCCAGGCAGATGTAACAGCCACCAGGCTATGAGCTGATGAGGCGCAGGGACTGGAAGCAGGAAGAGGAGGCAGCTGCGTGCTTTGCTCAAGTGCGAAGAAGCGACAATGACACACAGTTTGGCCTCTGAGCGGCCCCACCCACGAATACACGACTGGTCGCACCTACTTTTTTGTGAGCCGCCCCGAGGCTTTGTTGCGATGGAGGCGGCACAGAAATGTTTTAAATAAATAAATACTAGCTCAAGGGAGTGGGCAGACAACCTGGACAACATCTCCCATAAATTCTGCCTGCACGGCCAGTGAGGCAGGAACGTGGGAGTGGTGATTCAGAACTCCTGGAAGCCGTTTCTGCTCACTGCAGCAGGGCCTTCTGAACAGGCAGCCCCCCGCCCCCATCTGTCAGGATTCCCAAAGCAGCCACTGGTCCGAGAAGACCGAAGACCCCGGGGGAACAGAGGACGCGTTCGCGCATCGTGCGAAGCCGCCCTGGAGCAGCCCGTCACCGGCGAGACTGGAGAAAGCGGCACGAGGGGTTCTGCCCACCTGCTCAGTGCCCCCGTGGCTGAACCCGCGATAAAATCATTTCCCTGAGTCCAGACATGACAAGTCGTTGCGGGGGAAATGACCCCACAACCCCCCTCCGCCTGGCTTGCTCCCTGCGAGATAAGCCACCCCGCGGAAAGCGCCCCGAGTTCAGATGACACAACCAACTGCGTCATGTGAGCCCAGTCAAAGCCTCGGCCTTCCTAGGAGCAGCTGATACCTCTCGGCCTCTCCGGTGGCCCTGTGGGAACTTAAGTGGCAGGGGAGAATCCCAGGATCTAAGCTGCTCTCCAAACCTGAAGGGCAGGCAGGTATTTAGGTAGCTCTTGCTTCAGCTCCACCGGCGATGACACAGGCGAGTCAGGAAGATAATCCCCCTCCGTCATGGCGTTGGACTGTGGGCTTCCCTCTCCCGCTTCTTCCTCCTCCCCTTCGCTCCCTGCGGAATCCCGGTCAAACCTCGACTCTGTAACTTTAAACGTCAGAATCAGATCGTGGAAGCCGGTGCCTGTTTGCATTCTCCCCCAAAACAAGCTCCCAAGCAAGGCAAGGACACGACATACTCCCGCAGGAGGCTTCGAAGGATCCATCCTCCAGCCGGAGGATCTGCTGAGGTGCCACGCTGATTGACCCTGCTCACCTCCATGCAGGTGTCCCTCCCCCTTTTTCAAAGCCCCCTAAGCCAGTGTGGGTTGCCACATCTTGTGCCAGTGGGTTCTGGACCGCTACGCAAAGGAACATGTCATCTTCGGCTGCCCCAGGACCAAGTGCTAATCAAAACACCATCAGCCACTGAAATATGTATTTGGGAAATGGAAGGAAGGAAGGAAGGACGGAAGGAAGGAAGGGCATCTTGCTGTCATTTTGCACAACAGTACGTCATAATCATACAGGATCCATGATGCTAAATAAGAATAACTGGTAATTCACACTACTAATCTTAAGACAACTAGTAAAATCAGGAATTGTCATTGCAGGAAACAGGGTGGTGAATCTTCTAAGCCTGCAGGTTAGGAGTGCCGTCTGACAGAGTTGCTCATCTACTCTGTGTCCGAGTGTGTCAGGCAGAAAGAGCAGTGCTGACATCACAGAGGGGCCACGACAGAAAGGCCATGCCTGGCTTCGCTGCTCAGAGGCTATGGAGCGCTGGACCACCTTCGGAACTGCAGGAAAAATGTGGGGAAATGTGCATTTCCCCCGCCCCCCATAAGCTAAACGGTGCTTTGCTGGGGATCTCTGCAAGAATACAAGTTCAGAAAATGGAAGAAAATCCCATTAGTTCTGAGTGGAGACCAGAACGAAAGCCAGCTGATATTCTACGAAACTTGCAATGTACAGCTGTGAAAGCCGCAAGCAGCCATCTATGTTCTGTGCTTTATGCTTATGTAACAGGGCGACACCACTGCTCACCTGCCTCTGGATCGAGACGATAAGCATGAGGACCAACTAGGTTTTTTTCCGGTTTCTTAACAGAGCCCCTTCCCAAAGCCAACCAGATGAGGAATGCTAAGGACATGGGAGGATGGGAGGCTGACGCAGAAAACCACATGGAGCGCTTCTTATCTTACCAACTGGAATGTGGTCTCCGTTTTCCCTTTCTTCCTCTTCGCTCATTTCATCTTCGCTCACCTCTTCTGTAAGGGAGAAAAATGGAATAAATGAGCATCAAGGAAATCCATTTCTGAAGGCTACTCTGCATGAAACACAGACCAAGATAAGCGAGTTCGGAAGTAAGCCATTGCAGATCACCGAGGGTGGTGATGGAACATTTGTGAAGGCCCCTGCTTAGAAAAAATCCCTCCTGCACACAGTCCTGGAGAAGGATATCTGAAGTGGTACATGCCCAGAATTCTAGCACTTTATATTGCAATCCTAAGTATACTTACCTGTGCTGAATTGAATGACACTCCCTTTTATTTAAAGGTTTTCTACAGCAGCCTTTCAGCAAAACGCTCCCAGAACTCGCTCACTTCTGAGTCAAGATGCATACGAAGCCTTGTACCCTTCGGAGATGTAACACATAAGAACGCTTTTGGATAACAAAAGGCATCCTTTTGCTGAAGTTATTGAGGCTTTTTTAATATGGCTCACTTCTTCAACGTCCTGCATTAATCTGGTCTCCGCTGCATCCACACCTGCTTGAAGCTGGGTTCCAAGATGCAGGCAGCAAGGACTGACGGGGCTTTGTAAAATGCTGAGAGTCAACGGCAGCACCCGCACCACGAAGTGGCAGGATAAGGAAAACGCTGAGATTTGCGGAAGGGGGAAAGACCCTTGAAGGGAAAACCCAACCTGCAAACGGCCTAGCGATTTTAAGCATGCTCATTCCACAAACAAGGAGCTGGGGGACAGTAAAGACAGGAAGGAGCGAAGGAGATGGAGGGTCTGGAATGCAGCAGAGGGAGGCACTCTGCACCGGGACGCCAAGCCGTCGGGATGACCTGCAGCAGTGCTGCTACTCCTAGCTGGAGTAAAGTAACTCCAACTCCTAGTTGGAGTAAAAATGTTTTAATAAATAATTAATAAATAAAGCCAGAAGGCGTGACAGAAACACGCCACTCACCAGCCGACTGCTCCGTCACTGCGGAATTGCTGCCCGTCTCCTCTTCCTCCTCCTCTTCCTCCTCCTCCTCCTCCTCGGATTCTTCACTACTGGACTCCTCCTCCTCATCCTCTTCCTCTTCCTCCTCCTCCTCTTCCTCCTCTGAACCAGACCCAGATTCCCCTACAGGAAGCACCAGGGACAGAAAACATGGACAGAAATGTTTTAATAAAATAAATAAAATAATAATAAAAAGAACAGTACGAAACGCCCCCCCACTCACCAAACAGCGCGACGGTTTATTAAGACGACCACGGGGTCTCACAGCACTACCTACCTGATGAGGGTTCCGCCGAGCTGGTTTTTCTCTCGCTGTCGCTAATGTCCTGAAGGTCAGAAAGGGGGTCTCTCTCCTCTGGCTTTTCCTCTTTCACTGTATGGAAGAGACACATCGGTGCTGAAAGGGATCCCCCTGCAGATGCCTCACTGACGCGCAAAGAGCGGCAGCGACGCAGACGGAAGCGCTACCTGGCTTTCTGATCTCCCCTTGCTCAAGCTTCTCCCGCTGCTGCCGCAGAGGACTGCGGCTCCAAATCCTCACTTTCTCCCCGTATTCTTCTCGCACCGTTCTGTGATGTGCTGAAACTGGGGAGACACAAGGAAACGCACTCTGTGAGAGCCGCCCTGCACGCCTCTTCCTGTCCTCTGTCCAGCCTCTGAGCTCTGCCAAGGAGGTGCCCGCAGGCGTGGACCGATACAGAACTGCCTCACACGCCTGGCTTTCTGACCTCCGTCCACTTCGAAGACACGCTGCCATAATCCGGCAGGAGGAACCCATGAAAAGAGGCTTGCAAAGGTGGACGTGGCAGGCTGGTGTTCGGCATTGCCGCAGCTCCGTCCTGACCCGCTCTCGCTGTCGCCATTCCCCATCCCCATCCCAAATAGTCAGATCAGGGCTCTGCAGTTGCTACACACATCCAGCCCTCACTGGGCTGTTTTGGGGGTTCACTGGGCTGTTTTGGGGGTTCTTCCGACCTTAAGGATTTTCTAAGGTTTCTAAGGGAAAGATTGAGACAAGGTCTTTGCGATGAGGACAATACAAAACCGGAAGCAAGAGCAGCAGCAACAGAAGACACACATTATGCTACAGCAGCCCGTGAGACGGCCTTCCCCAGCTGGGGGCCCTTCGCTGTCTGTTCCTTTTCAGTTCAGCTCCCATCCACCCCTGCCATGGCCAATGGTTGGGAATGCTGGGAGATGCCAGCCTGGGGAAGGCTGCCGAGGGACCTCCCAGAAATCGCACTCCTCTGCTGGGATGGAGCCTTCGCACCAACATCCAGCAGAGCCAAAGGGTAGGTGGCTTGATTGTACCCTTGCTCTGCGAAATGCAGCAAAAGGGGAAAGTGCCCGGTGCTGCACTGTGAATGCAGGCATGAGACGCTTGGGTTTTGTGAACTTGGCAAGGCGGAGATTAAAACCCCTCCCTGCCAGCTTTTGATGGTTCCTCTTTGTGCAGTCTGAGGATGCTTGGAGAGACGGACCACCCTCCCCCCGCCCCATGTGCCTGACGCATGGCTAAACCGAGCGGGGAAGGCCTGACATATCCGCAACAGCGATCGATGGTTGTCTGTGAAGGGACCGTTCCGTCTGAGCTGGAAGAAGCTGGAAGAAGGGTATGGATGCTTCTAGTGAAAGGCATCATTGCTCCTTGCCGTTGGCGTGGCAAACGATCGGATGACAGGATCACAACAAGATCACCCCCGAGGTGTAGAACAGTTCCCCAAGCCCACTGCCCTTGCGGGACACAAGACGTTGCCGCTCCATGGCAGAGCACCCGCTTTGCACGCAGACGGTTCCAGGTGTGAGACCTTGCCTGGTCGCCAGCAGTGACCAGGGGTGCCATGCAGGTGGGTGGAGGAAGGATGCAGCTTTCCATCCCTCCACCACTTACCTGTGGCATTTCCTTCTTCCATGACCATCCCAGAAATGCAGTGGGCTGACGGAAGGGATGCAAAGGGATCTGTCCCTCCATTGCGAGCCCACTTGATAAATGTTGTTTTGCTGGCCTAAAAGGATAGGAGGAGTTTCTGCCATGGCTGTAGAAGAGGTGGCGTCCTCTCCCCGTGGCCAGCACGGACTGAGGCTCATAAGAAGTTTCCGTTGTTTTTCTTCCAGGCTTGTAAATGTGGGCAGGCTGATTTATAAAGCTACGCAAATAAATCAGCACGTCCCATTAAGCAACCGAGAATGATTTGAAGAAAGGCCCAGCTGAACCCACAAACTACTTACTCTCTCGCCTGGCTTCCCGTTCTTTACGCTTTTCCTCGGCACGCCTTTCCCGTTCTTTTATCTCCCGCTGCTCTTTCTGCTGCTCTCTCATCTTCCTCTCTCGTTCCCGCTTCCTCTCCAGCTGCTCCAGACGGTCCCTACAGAGGTGTCATGCGCCGGTTATTTCTGCTCTTCCTTACTGTTGTTGCACCTCTTGGCAACTTTGAACTATCTGATGTTTGTTCTCTCGAAGGGGAATCGTGGCTTATAGATTTTCGTTTAGGGCACAGATTTATGGTTTAGGACACGGAACAGACACTCTGAATTCTGGCCATATTTTCCACACAGAGAAGCTAAGCTTATTCCACTGACACAAGAAAGGCACAAAAAGAACAGGCAGGGCTAGGAGGAAGCTTGGACTCATGTGGAGGGCATGCACCGAGCTAACAGACCGGACGCTTTTTTCTTGCATGCGAAGTTTCAAGAGCCGTTTGACATATAACATCTGGGGGCTATCATTCAAGAAAGAACAAGTGCCAATTTTGCAGAGGCTGATCATCTTGGCAACAGGACTGCTAATGACGAATTTCAGATGAATGTCTCTTGGCTGAATAATAATCTGAAAGATGAACCAACATTCTGCCTGCAACCGCAGTCCTCTTGATCCTCCTTTCATGGCATAAACAACCCAGGACATCTTCACCGAACCTGTTTCCCATATTATCTGAGCAGGGGGGCAATTCTGATTCATGAAGCAGGTAAGAACTCACAAAGGTTATCAGACTACTGCTATCAATAATCCAGACCGGTACCATGTGCCAGAAGCACAAAACAAGTAACAGAAATGTGTGCATACGGTCTATAGCTCAAACACACGATCATATTCACAGAAAGGCATATTCTATAGCATAAAGGAGTCTGAGTGCTAATAAAATGGGAATGTTTTAATGACATTTTAAAATTATTTCTATTGTCTTCTGTTAAAGCAAGTAAAGGATTAAATACTGAGACCGTAAAGCAGTAATAAGCGAGCAGGGCTGTCCATCCTGTGTCTGAACTAAGACTTGTGCTCCGTGTCTGGATCAGGAAGTTGGTGGTTTCTAGATTCGAACCAGGTTAGGATATGAAACTCTGGCTTGATTTTGGTTTAATATCCTCAGCTTTCTGAAGTCAGTTACCATGGTTTCTGGGTTGTAGAACAGGAAATTGCGAACCTTCAGAGGAATAGTACTTCTCATTACCAGATGTCAGGAAATAGCTACTGCCATCTTGCATTGTTTATGAACTTCTGCAAGGCATTGTGCCAACATCTGGTAGAGAGAGGGAACTAGCTGAAATGAAACTTGAGTCCTTCTAGGGTGTTACCATAGCCCAGTGCAGGTAATCTTGTGACAACTCATTTTTGCTAGATTTCTGCTTATGGAGAAATCCTGACTCTGCTCTATCAATGCTTCGGAGCACGCGCATCTGCCTACTGTAAGGAATAAAGCCCAGCTTTTAATGCCTTGCCATAGCAATACAGCAGCGGCAGAAAAAGCTTCACAGAAATAAAGGTGTGCATTGTGAGCCTAGACACCTGACGCTGAGCTCCAAAGCTGAGCAGTGTGATAATCCTATTACGTATGTATGCATGCATGTAGGATATTTGTGTACCGTCCTTTGCGAGAGCCTCAGGACGGCTTCCACAAATAAAATTCCAATACATAACTGTATAACATAAATAAATTAGCGACACACTCTGGCTGCGAATAAAATATGGTAATAAAATTCAATACTAAAACTTGTGAAAATATTGATTAAATAAAAAGGCCTTAACCTGGCGCCGAAAAACAAATAATGGGGGCGCCAGGCGGACCTCTCTGGGGAGCGCATTCCATAGGTGGGGCGCCACCGCAGAGAAGGCCCTCCTCCGGGTACTTTGCCTCCTAATGTCTTTTACAGAGGGTTCCCGGAGGAGGGCCTCTGTTACCGATCTCAGGGGGCAGGAGGGCAAATAGGGAAGAAGGCATTCCTTTAGGTATCCTGGTCCCAAGCCATTTAGGGCTTTATAGGCAATAACCTATTAGAATTTGCAGATTACACTTTATGAACCTCAGACTCAGGCTAGTAACGAATCCATCACCTTAGTCACCTACGTCAAATTAGAATTGCCCTCAAGAAAGCAGGTGGTGATGCCTTACAGAAAAAGACTCCAAGGCACAAGCATTTGACATGACACCTGTACGGCCAGGGAGACTTGCAAAACTGCTCTGGGCCGGTTGTATTTCTGGACTAGGCGGAGTAGGATGCTTACAGCCCAACTCTAAGTGGTCCGTTAGCTGACTGGTTTCACCTGGCTCCGGACCAGGTGGCCCACGTGTGGATGAAACCCTGCCACTGGAATGAAAGTGAACTGTTCTCTCCCCTGTGGAAATCTGCCTGCTTTTAAAACAGGCACTTCACTGAGCCCATGCCGAATTCAGAAACGCCTCCCTCCTGGATATCTGCTTCTGTTGCACCTTTGGCTCAAAACCGGCCCAAAATTCGTCTGATCTTGCATAATCCTTTGGCTGCACTGAGGAGCTGTTTGAATCCTGAAGCCCTCCTTAAGCCTTGACCACCCCCCTACACCTCTAGTTTTTCAAGTTTCACCAAGCACTGCCCGTGTGCCTTTCCAAGCCTCTCTCTGCAACCCTAACCTGCTTGCAAAAACAAGCAGAGTTTCTTAGAAAGTCGAACGCAGTAAGTGAAGAGCACAAACTAGCGCTTTTCTGCTCTTCTGCTGAACTGCAGCCCAAACAGGTGGTTGCGGTCCTGTGCCCCCGCCCACCTTGCAAAGAGATGCCCTTGCTTGAATTTTGGAGTCACGATCGCATCCCTGCAGCACTGGAGTTCGTACTGGCTGCCTCACGTTATTCCGCAGGAGGTAACAGAAGCACATAACCAAGGGAACTAATGGGTGATGGAATTCCAACAGAGCAGGCGAGAGAAGCCCCATGTTAAACAGGTTCTGGGGAGGGAGTTTCGGGCCGGGGTGGGGGATTTACCTCTCTCTCCTGGAATGCTCCCTAGCCATTTCCCTCCTTTTCTGCCTCTCCCATTCACGGCGGGCCTTATCCTGCTCTTCTCGATGCCTCTTTCTACGTTCATGCTCGCGCTCCTTCTCTTTCACCCTAGCATGTTTCCCTAGTAATAGAGATACAAAGAAAAGGCCAAACCGTTACCCCCTCCCATTTGGAACTCTAAAAATAAAAGAAGCAGAGGGAGAAGCACCGACTTTTTCATTAAAAAAACAAAAACAAAATCAGCCACCAGGACTATGATTTCCCATGAACTTAGATGGCTTTAGGAAAAGACCCACAAATGAGTCTATTGACGGCGTAGCTCCAAAAGAGACCTCCACCCGCAAGGCAGAAAAGGCACAATGCTATGTCTGTTTAGACTGAAAGAGGCTGACAAGCCCCAGCTGGCTGGGACATGCTGAGAGCTGTGGGGCTCTTTTTGGTTTCAAAGCGCCTCGGGAACTGCAGGGAACGTCCAGCACTTCTGCGGCCGGTTTGGGCATGTCTGGAAGTCTCTGGCTGTTGGCGAAGGGATGCTAGCTGGGAGGGACCACCCCCGAGCTTAGGGCTTAGCGCACGTGTGTTTTCCGAGAGCTCACACGGGCAGGCTAACTGCACGGACAGAAGGTGCTCGGCCTCACCCGGGAAAGACGACGATGGACCACCACTCCCGCACGGCTTCTGAGCTACCTGGCAGCATCTGTCTGGACACTGGGCCAGGGTGGATCCTCGAGCTGCCCGAGCAAGGCCATTACTGAGTGCTGGGTGACAGAGACCGATCCCCGCTTCGACCCCGCTTAAAAAAAATCCACCCATTTCTATGCGCGGGGCGAGCAGCTACACGGGAGGAACACGCAGGAGCACCTTCTGCTGAGTGGCTGCGGTGCCGCCGCTTCTCCTTCCTCTTCTCGTCCTTCCTGTGGTGGGCCTTCTCCTTCCGGGACATTTGCTGTGGCGGCTTGATGGCCAAGGAGTCGTCCTCCTCTCCCCTGCAGAGCACACAGGGAGGGAAACGGGGCGGGATCATGAGTCCGGAGAGCTGCCATCTAGTCGTGAAGCATGCGATCTAATGAGCTACGCCCACTTGTTTTCGCGAAAGGGCCTGAGGTGCCAGATTCATCCTGCGCCTTCAGGAAGTTTGGGGCAGTCACACTCTCCTGCTCAGGTGCCAATTAAACCTTTCTTAGAGTTAGCAGCATAGCAACTTTACAGAGGTCGCCCCCTCCTGGAATTGTACTCTGGGCATTTGTAGTACACTGATCTCTGAGTGCTGGGAGCCTGTTTGAGCAGAAGATCTTGCTAGTCAGTAAAACCTTTTCCATTTCCCCAATATTTTAAGGCTTGATTGCCATTTTACTATGGGTTTTATTGCTAGAAATCAATTAGGTTGCTAAGAATTTTGTTTCATTCTTTCATTAAACAGCTTTAAACAAATAAAATAAATAAATAAAAACTAGAGCAAAGTTAGATGCTTTCTAACTCCCAATTAGATGCTTTCTTACCTGTCTTCCATAGAGTCTTCCCTCCGGTAAGGTGAATTCCTGATAGTTATCTCCATGCGGTGGTCTCTCAGCTCTCCCTCTTCGAGGGAATCACGCTTTGAATCCCGATCATCAGACTATGACGGATTAGGAAAAGAAAGGACAAAGAACGGACATGAATGAAACATAATTGATGCAGGCAGAAGGTACTAAAAATGATGCTAGTTGGGGGCGAAATACTGCTAATGGAGGAGTAAGCAACACAGAGCCTTTGGATATATGGGACTACAAGTCCCATCAGCTCCAGCCAGGGACGGATTGAACTAGCGTGACTTGTAATATGAACCAATGCTTACTTGGCCAGATTTTCTCTTGTCACCCAGTAAAGGCATCTGGGGACAGGGTGTCAAATCAGCTACAAAGATGAGTCAACACAGCTGTTTATATCCACCTTTTCCCTTGGAGTCCAGGTAGAATTTAAATATCAGCATCAGAAGTAGCACACACCTGTTAGCGCAAGGCAGCACAATGCATCATTACAAGCTCAGTTCTGTGGTTTTTCACTTAGAAGCAGGCCTCATTAAATTAAATGGCGCTTACTCCCAAGGTGATATGTGCTAGACCACAGACAGGGCCAGAAGCAGCCTTGGACTAACGGGTGGAGTACAAAAAAAAAAGATAAAACATTTAAGCGACTGGCTTGAACGTGGCAAACTTACATTCTTGAGGCGCTTTATGTCAGCCTTCTCCTCTTGTTCCTTGCGGCGTTTCTTCTCCTGAAGAATTTCATCTAATGTTTTAACTTTCCAAGATTCCTTTTCATCACCCATTTGCGTGAAAAAAGGCACTAGGAGGGAACACAACCACCAAATCAGACCGCTGCTGTCCAGCTGCAGGCAAGCACCATGGAGCCGACTGCAAAATATTCTTATCTGTGGGTCTTCCTCAGAAAAGCATCCGGCAACTTCAATTAGCTCAAAATGAAGCAGTGAGAGGCTTAGCTGATCTCTGTCACAAGACAACATAAAATACAACTCCAGTACCTTGCTTATGATCACGGACATACAGAACTGCCTTAGAAAAGGTGAGACCGTGCCCTCCGTTTATCTCTTCCTGCAAGGATATCCACGGGTTGTCCACCCCTGCACCACCATCACCTTTCCCCATGTTATTTTTAAAACGTGAAAGCTACTAAAACACTGTTCTCTTTTGGGTAAACTGACACAGGCAGCAGAGAGGTAATGAGAGAGGCCGCCTCATCTTGCTGTCAACCTCTTTCTTCTAGTTCTCTCTACATGCCTGCCTGAAAGGCTGTCGGAGAAAGAACAGATCATCCTTGCCAGAGGCCGGAACAGATTCCTTGCAAAGGATTTTGAAATTAAGCAGAGACCTGCTGCCCGAAAACACACACAGAGGGAAATCTTCAATCATGGCTTGTGTATCAAAACCAGCCCTGCTGAAAGTGTCTCTCAGGGTCACATTCCCTAAAGCAAAGATAAGCACTCAGATACAATGGGGATCCTGATCGTAAACAAATACAAAAGTTCTTACTGGACACAGTGCAACTGACTTCTAAGCAAGCGCACACAGGAATTAGATACAAACTAAATTAAAGCAAGCCCTCCACTGCAGTTTTGGGATAAATGCAGACCCAAGGCATGAGAAGGGGCAGACTGCTAGAATGCAACCACCTCAGTTGACATTATTTCTTTTGTAAAGCCAGTTCTTTTAATAATTATTTCTATGTTAATCACCTTGGAGGCAGGGAAGAAATGTTTTGAACAATTCTGCAGACCAGAAGCATAAGAGACCAAACCAGTTTCCCTCAGCTATTATTTATCGACTGCACTCTATAAAGTAGGGTTCCACACACGTGCATTCAGAAGCAAACTTCACTCACTTCAAAGAACTTGCTCTCAGATAAGTTTGCAAAGGTTTAACACTTTATTTTTTCGATTTATATCCTGCCTTTTTCCTACAAAGGGCTCAGGGCAGCTTACATTATTCTCCTCCTCCATCTTATCCCCACGACAACAACCCTGTGAGGTAGGCTGGGCTGAGAGTCTGTGACTGGCCCGAAGTCACCCAGCTGGCTCCATGGCCAAGCGGGGACTCGAACCTGGATCGTCTGAGTCCCAGCCCCATGCTCTTCACCACTACACCACACTGGCTCTCACTTTAAGCGAATAACACTATTTGAGGAGCCAAAGTTACTGGAGAACTCCCCACACAAGGTCTGAAGCAGTGCTGGCTTCAGAAGGGGGAGTCAGAGATCCATTCGGACTCCTCTTGTAGGCAGTGCTGAAACAGTGAGGTCAGCTGCCCTCCAGTTAGATAGCTGACCGCAGGGTTGAGGAAATGGGGGGCTTTCTTGGACAGGGAGGGGAGGATACGGGCTGTCCTGAGCCTCTTCCAGAGTCCTCCCTCCTATTCTGAAGTGCCATCTCTAGGCAGGCAGAAAAGCTCTTCCAGAAAAATATGCTGGGTGGGAGAATGAGGAGGCAAAGAGTGCCTCCACTCTGCACTAGATGACCAGGAATCTCTGATCATCAAGGGATTAATTCCAGACAGAAAAAAAGTGCCACATCACGGAGAATTCCCCATCCTACCATCAGATGGATGGGAAATGCTGAGAGCTGCGGGACTTTTTCAATCTCTGAGATTGCATCTTTCAAGCAACGTATTAAGCATGGAACAGAAGTTCAGCAGCAGCAGCAGCAGCAGGTATAAGAATCTCACCAGTAACGGAAAACAGTCCTCCAATTAAGAAGCAAACAAACAGCCCATCCGCGAACCTTTGAATCTGCAGCCACAAGCCTGCGGCCGCGATATAACGGACAGCCTGAGACTGGCGAGACGAGGCTGAATCCGCCACTCGGCGGCAGCCTCTCCCCGACTGACCAACCTCGCAGGGTTGTCGCGAGGCCAAACCGAGGGAGAACGTCCGGAAGGCCACCCGGAGCTCCCCGGAGGAAGAGGGGCGCGCCCGTTGTCACGGGACAGCGGCGGGGCATGGCCACAACCGCACCGTCCGCGGCGGGCCACCCCTCCAACGCCGCCCCGCCAAGGTAGGCCACTCCGGGGCCGGTCCTCCTCCCTCCGCAGAGGGCCCGCGCCACTCTCTTCCGCCCGGCCCCACGGCGAAGGGAGCCCAGCCGCGCAGGCCGCTCACCTTCCTTCTCGCCCAGCCGCCGCCGCCGCCGCCACAATCCTCTTGCCGGAGATGGAATGCCCGGAAGCGCGGCGCCCGGTGCACGCAAGACTTCCGGCGCTGGAGAGTGACGTCACGGGCGCCCACCTGCGCGACCCTCGGCTGACTCTTCCAGGCATGTGGGAGCGGCGTTCCAAAGCCCATAGACTCTCACAAGTCTAGACCCGCAGCGCGTGCCTTGCCTCCGGGTTCGCTAAGCACTCAGCGCCTCCCAGGCGGAAGGAAGGATCGCTCAGATGTCAAGGGGGAGCTTTCATAGATTCACTAAATTGTAGAAGCGTAGATCCTCTCAGACTTCACGTTCCTTAGCCAGACTTACACCTATTTATTTCACTGTGTTGCCGCCTTGAGACATTATGAAGTGCAGGACACAAGAACCATAAATAAATAAATTCATTCATTCATCCATTCCTTTACTTCACAGGCTCCCACAGAAATCGATGGGGAAACCCATGCTTCATTAATTATTATATCTATATTTAAATTTATTTACTAGGTTTATATCCTGCCTTTTTATTTTTTTCAAAGGTTTCAAAACGGCTTACATCCTTCTGCTCCTCCTACTCCCAATCTTGTCCTCACAACAACCACCCTGTGAGGTAGGTTGGGCTGAGACCTACCTCACATGCATGGCCCAAAGTCACCCAGTTGGATCCATAGCTGAGAGGGGATTAGAACCCAGATCGCCCAAGTCCCATTCCCACACTCTTAACCACTACAGCACTGGCTCTCAGTGATCCTTCTCTCTCTCTCTATCTACCTATGTATTGGATTTCTAACCTGCATCCTTAGCCACACAGCCCACTGGGAGGGCTACATCAATAAAACCCTAAATCCAATACACTTCCATGAATCACGAATCACTGCAAAACATTAGAACAACAAAACAGTAATAAAAATGCGCCCACTGACAGAATTAGTGATTTCATTGAAAGACACACCCCTTTCCATAAAAAAGGCACACGCTTTTCCCGCAGGGACGGCAGCTTACGTTACGTTCCCCATCCTCACAACAACCCTGTGAGGGAGGTGAGGCTGAAAGCTGGTGGGCTTCAGGAGCCCAGCCTCTGCCCCCCTCTGATCTACGAGGCTTGGATCAGCCACCAGGCTTCTGCTGCCTGCCTGGGCTTGCCAAGAAATCCGGCCACCAAGCACCCGGGGCGCCTTTGGCTTGGCAGGCTGCAAGGTGCTGGGCTTTTGCTGGGATGCAAGCCAAGACACAGGAGGCTCGGCCAGGGCACCCCGGTCCAAACCGGTGATGTGGCTTTCCGGGCAGCTTCGGAGAAGCCGGGCTGCCTCCAGTCTCTCGGAGACCAGGCAGGGGATGCGGAGGCGGGAAAGCAAGCACAGCCCTTTGGAAACCGGCCTGGGAGCCCGCAGCCCCTAGTTGGCTGCATTTCAGCACCCTGGACAGCAGCCACCCCGGGCCAGCAGCCTGGGGTCTTTCCCAGCCCTGGCTGGGGATGCTGGGCACTGCGTGCCCAGCCCCTGCCTAACCGAGCTAAGACTCCTTGCTTAAAAACCAAAACGAAGCCTTGTGCAGCATAAAGATGAACAACTGCATGTTAAGAAAAGTGTTGGTGGGCTATTGTTCTCGCCATAACATATTGGTACTGGCAGGAGTTAATTATGACCTACATTTTCAGATTGGAGAAGCACTGTGTTCCTTTCGCTAGCCCAGTTTGACATCTGTTGCATGCCTTCATTAGGTTTGTAATTCATTGGATGGAGCAATGCCTTTTTAAAATGGGGAGGACACAGTTCTGCTGAAAAACACACCAAAAGATTTTCCAGCATGACTAAGTGTCAAAACTTAGCTTACGGAATGGCTTCATAAAAGAGCAGAATTCTTTAAAAGGGCATTCAGTTGAGCTGAGTTTTATTATTTTATTTATCCAAGGAGAATTTTACAAAGAAACCAGTGAAGTACAGAATTACACTTGCAGATTTATTTTTCAAAATGAAACAAAACATTGCCACAAGCAAATCCCTTCTCCTGTTTGCATTTCACACAAGTAACAAAGGACTATCCACAGGATTCTAAACCAATATCAACAGTTGCAAACAGCTGATTATGGCCAAACACTGGCTGATAACCAAGGAAGGACATTTTACATGAGCTTTCTCCAACTGTGCTACACTTAAGTAAAATACTGGAAAAATGAACGCTCTAGAATTTTTATGGAATCTCATTTTCAGTCTCATCGAACTCCAGAGCATTTAAGGTTTGGCCCCATTGCGAAAGCACCAGTGACATGTTTGTCAACGTTTCCACAGGAAGAAAGAAAACATTTTGCTATGTCCATGGAACAAATCCATTAGATTGTCTATGGGACAGGTTCGGCCTTTGCGCAACAGAGGTAGAAAGTACAATCCTATGCGTTTTATTGGGAATGATATCCAACTTTTTCGCAGGACACAAGCCTAAAGCTTTGGCCTTGCAGAACTTGGATTAAAGATCGCTAAACCAGCCTATGTCACAACGGGTTCACTTGTCATGCCCAACTTAACAATTGTGGTTCTCTGCAAAGAACTGTATGCGCTGCAAGTTTGACAAACATTCCAAGTATTTATTTCACTATTTCACTCAAGGATGTGCCGACTTCAGGGAACATTTATTTATTTTCCTCTACTAGAACTCCAAAATACTTCAAGAACAATTCATTAACATTAGCGATGCCTCGGTTTGTTCAAACCCTAACGGTCTAAGGAGGGTATCGCTACTGCAAAATCCATGCCACTTGAACAAATGTGCACCTTGTTCCCTGAAGATTTAGGACTGCCGTGTTTCTGGTCCATGAATGACTTTGCCAAACCAATTAAGAGTCTTTTGGTCAGTTAAGAAGTGCCACGTACGTTCATCAGGTTTGAAGACCGATGTTTCTTTAAGTGCTTGTACAAAGCATCAGCTTGGAAGAGGCATTCCCATCAGAAGTGGAGCGGGTTGGACGACATCCATCCACATGGAGCCATGGGCCATGTTGGGTGGAGCTTGGGAGCCTTGATGTGCCAGACGGATGAATGGGCACATCATGGCTCAGTGTCTGTTCCCGCCCAGCTCCTCTCCCCGCCACTTCCTGTTGCCATAAGCCCCAAAGGCCTTGCAGTAGCAGCAGAAACGGGGTGCAGGGATCCCAACGGAGGGCTCCCAGGAGCAAGGATCGCTTCTTCACCCCCTCATGGAGCTCCACATTGGCCTGCTGATCATGCAAACCCAGGTGCCACCAGGGGTGGGTCAGACCATCACCTCAACCCCCGTCCCCTCCACCTGTGAATTATCCGTTCATTCACAGGTGATATGCATGTGGACCCCAGCTGGAATCCGATCCATGCATCCCTCAGGGAAAGCCCCCTCGACCTCAGTTGCAATTCGCAGGACGGCACCAAAGAGCAACCCAAGTTGACAAGAAGACACTCAAGCCGCAGGGAATCTGATCAGGCGGCAGAGCGAGCGAAGCGAGTGCGACACTCCTCCCTTGCTCTTTGGCAAAGCGCAGACTTTCCCACGGGGATTTACCTGTGCGAAGCGGCCCCAGCTCACGCTGCCGTTGCAGCTGCAGATTTGCAGGCTCCGAGGCCGCCGCCCACGAGCCCCCCTCCCCTTCGTCTATTTGTGCAGATGCTCCAAAAATCTACACCAGTCTATTGAATCCATCGCCTCTCTGCTCTCAGTGGAATTCTGGTCTCCTGCCCCCTGAGCTTTTTAACAGGAGATGCTCCATTTGATGGTGCTGATGCCTCTGGCACTCAGCCTGTTCTCTCCTTGCGGATTAACCTGTTTCCCTAGAGAGAAGTCCTACAAGTCCCAGCACTGGGACTGTGGGGAGGGAAGGGCCTGGCAGCTGCCCCCTACATAGGTGGGGACAATGTTAAATTGCTTATTATCCCATTGAGTCAAACAAGGAAAAGAGAATTTGAGATGAGCAGGGCTAGAATTATATGGAGCTACCCCCCATCTTTTGGAATGCCCCTTAGCTAGCATTTCGGAAGCTAGAAGGGAGTCCACCTGTGGGGTAACGTTGGAGAGGGGCTCTAGGAATCCTGTGAAGCTCTCACTTCCTCCCCCGCCACTCCAGAATTTGAGCCCTGGCTGGGTGCATGGCACAATTCTGCCACGAAAGGTGCAAAATTAGGAGTTAACGGCTGCAGAATTCAGCTTCTGAAGAATGCTGCTTTCATTGGCAAAAACAAAAGAACAAACAAACACCAAGATCTGCTTGAAAGGCACAGAACTATTCCAGAAGGCAGATCTACTGGAATACTTATTTGGAATTATGGGATCAGATTTGTTGAGAACAGAGGGCAGTTTCTAGGTACTCCTTGCCCCAATCTAGGACAAGTGGAAAAGAAAATTATGGAATAGATTAAATGACAAAAGATTGCACACTCACTTTGAATCATACAAAATGCAGCATTCAGCTGTCTCTGCCAGAGGATTTTCATTTAAAACCAAAACAAAAACCATCCACATAGAATATGTCAAATCCAATTCATAAGGTTCTAGTCCTCATGAATGGAGATTGGGCACAAAAAGCAAACAAATGTCAGCCTAGAGTGTTCTTATGCTGCATGGAGCTTAGGAACATCAGAAAAGCCCTGCTGGGTCAGGCAAGGGTCCCTCCAGTCCAGTCACCCAGTGCCCAATCTGCTTCTCACAGGAACCCTCCAACCCATGATCCCCAGCAACAAGTGTTTCTTCACTGACAGCCAGCAGCTCAACCTGTCCCTCTGTTACCAATCCAAACAATACCAGGACACAGATGCAGCGGTGGCTGCAAAAACGGGATCATCTCCTAACTCAAGGGGGAAAGCCATGCGTGGAATGTGCCAGGTTAGAATCCTTCAGTTAGAAGGATGGGGTTGCAGGAGAACAACTCTGTGCCAAGAGCCCTAGAGAGTCACTGCGGTCAAGAGGGGACAATCTTGGCCGAGACTGTCAAACAGTCTGTCCTGGAATAAATGTGGAATTATTTGCCAGCAGGGTGGGCGTGAGGAGCTCTGTCCCACCAGCCCTCACTTCCTTCCCAGAGCAAAACGACCGGCCAAGTCGGTTTTGTCCATCATCATCAAGCATGCAGCTCTGCGCCCCAACTCTTTCACCCCCCTGCTGTTATGATCTTATGTGCTAAGCCTTGACCCCAAAAATTGTCTGAATCAACTCCCTCCCATATTGAGAGAGCGAAACGGTCTTTTCCTTGTTTATCACGACACCCACTCAGAAAAACGCTTCACTGACTCCTATTGAACAACAAAGAGTCAATGATTTACTGCCTGTTTGTACAGTACTGAAAATTAAACATGGGTTGAAAAGCTACAACCCACCACCCCCGCTCCCGGGTATAATGCATTTAGCAACCCTAATCCCTTTATAAACTTTAGTTTGGGTGGAAGCAGGAATTAAAACCAGGTGTACACACACAGGAGTCTTGTCAACATTTCTGATGTCATCTTGAACATCTCAAGACGGTCCCCGCTCTTGACAGACAGTGGTATTCCCCCTGGAATCGGCAGTGGGATGCAGTGGGGTTAAAAGCCCTGTGCAGCCCCCTTCCCAGTGCATCCCCTCTGCTGGTCCGAGTCTTTCCAAGTGGACCTGCAGCGGCATTCCACTCGAGCCAACGTGCCTTAAAAATCTGGCCTGCCCAAACACGGTTGTATCAGCTCACAGGCGCTGCAAGAGATGTCCGCGATGCAGTGGACGGGTGTTTGGCCTGATGCACGTGTGTCCAGAACACGGGGAAACTTGTCTTAGCTTGCACTGCTTTGGCAGAGTCTTACCCGTCAGCCTCTGATTTCCCTCCGGAGCCAAGCACGAAAAGGAATCCCTTTCCCAGAGTTCTCCCTCAGAAAGGTTCTGTTTCTCAGCCAACGTTTCCCATTTTGCTCCACAGGGAAAGACACGCGGCCCTGGAAGCGTAACGAACTCCGGGTGCTGTTGATTATCGAGAATAAAGGACCCCCCGAAACCGCGAGCTGGTCGTGGCAAGTTGCAGCGGAGGGACGGAAGGCCGCGTCCTTCATACAGCTTTGCAAATGGGTGGCTCAGACTCGCTGTTCTGGGAAACGGGAGTAGGCAGGGCCGCGGCCGCCAGACTCTGAATGGCTGCTTGCTGGTGCTGCTTCGCTTTGTTGTAAAGCAGCACCCCGACCGTCACGAGGACCGTCCCGACGGCCGAGAGGCTGGTGATCTTGTTCCCGAAGACGATGATGCTCAGCCAGATGGACAGGGCGTGCTTCACGGTGCTGGCGACGCTGCAAAGCACGTGGAAATGACGTGAGGGAGGGAGCGGGGAGGCAGGGCCGGGTGTGGGGGTCCCCTGCCAAGTCCAGCACCTGGGGGCACCGCACACTTAAAGATGCTCGTTGGCACAAGGCCCCCCGACAAGCCATGCTTGTGTGAACGCGCTCGCCCCGCCTGCACGCTTGGGACGTTTGAATTGTTCCACAGCCATCTTTTCTAGGAACTGTCTTGAATGGACGAGGAATAACGGGAACCCAGATAAATCTCCCGTTGGAAGTTACGTGATGCAGCCGTGCTGAATCTAATGAATCGTTCCCTGCAGGGAGGCCCAACCAGAGCGGATGACGGGGGAATAATATTTTATGGTTATTGCAATTCTATAGTTGTCTTCCCGGAGTCTTTGTCTTCATATTCTAAAATCCTTTGAGTTATTGTTTGGAACTGCTGAGAGCATCTCCATTAGGTCCGTGTGACACGTTATTCTCTACAATTCTGGTTTTTACTGTACTGGCCAGCTGCCTGGAAAACTTCAAGCTTATCACAGTAGCTCTCACTGATTACTGGGGGAAAAAAGAGCTGGGAGAACTCAGCTACGGCCCCTGGGAGAATTTGGGGAGAATTCATAACCTCAAATTATTGGGTTATAAGTAATAACTCCAAGAATTTAGGACAGCAATGCTCGGATTTGACAAACCCGACAAAACCGACTGATAGTGCTTGTTTTATGGCATGTATGAGTGGATTTCAGGGTTGTGGGATCTACAGTGCTGCATCTTTTTTTAAAACTAGCCCCAGACCCAGTAAGGGAAAGTGCAAAATGGAGGCTGGAGGGTGAAGAGGGGGTGGAACTAGAAGCAAAATGGAGGCTTGGAGGCAGAGCCAATGACACATTGCTAGAAATGGGAATTCAAGCAAAGTTAGATGGGGGAATCCTTCTTCTTATTTAATATCATCATCATCCTGTGATTCTTATTTTATTTCAGCTTCAGTTCAACCTCGTGCCCTCCAGATGGGATGGACTACAACTCCCATCACCCTCAGTCAGTGGTGCTATTTACTACATTGGCAATACGGTTTGTATCACACTGTATTTTTCCCAAGCAGCTGAGGACACTGTATATGGTTCCCCCTGCCTGGACAGTTTCCCTCACAACAACCCTTTGAGGTAGGCCAAGCTGGGAGTGATTGGCCCAAGATCACCCAGTGAGATTCATGACAGAGCAAGCATTTGAACCCATGCCTCCCCAGTCCTACTCCAGCACTCTAACCTCTATGCCAGAGTGGAAGACCAGGTGCCATGTGATGTTTTGAACTTTACCTGCTATGGGTTCCCACCAGCACCACCAACGGACAGAGATTCTGCCAGAAAGCGCTGGCTTGCACACCCCACACTTCAGTCTGATGGGCCTTCTCACACTGTTGCTGCTCACAAACCCCACATATATGGCACGCTCCAGAAATGATTTCCATTTATTAGGCTGCTTGTCTAGTTTTAACTAGGCCATTTTCTTTCTGAATGATGTCCAACTTATCTTGTCCCTTTAAATCTGTATTTGTTAGCCTGGGTCCCTGAGTCTGAACTGAACTGAACTTCCAAGCAACACTGACTCTGAAAACCTACCAGATCTACTGCAGACTTTCGGAGGTCTACCAGGCAATTCTAAATACCTCCGGAAGCCTGACACAGAGGCCAACCTCTGGTCAAAAAGCAGAGCATCAACCCTGGGAAAAGCTCTTTATCTGAAAACATTTCTCTGTCACTTTTTCGTATTTGCATCATTTAGCTCAAAAGACACCTTTTCCCACAAAATCGTCCTCCGTTGCTCAGCCGGGCAGGGCTCCTCTCAAAGCCACGTTTATCGAGTGCAGAATCGTGGCCGGACAGAACTGAGTGGGGGGATTTCTCCGCCTGTGTTTACCTGAAGGTGACGGGGGAAATCTTGCCCATCAAGGCGTACGCGGTGACGCTTTGGAGATGGAAGAGGACGCCAACCATCAGGAGCAGCATGACCACATCCTGATCATACTCAAAGCTCTTCCCGCTTTTCCCGATGATAGGCATATCCTAAGGAAGAGAGAGAGGGCCTGGTTTGATTCGGGATGGGCTTCCCTTGAGGAACTGAGTTCCTAGCCCAGGCCTAGACAGCACGGAAACGGTTAAACGGAACAACGATCCAAGCATTGCTTACTTGCGAACTTGAATAGATCTGCAGGAGGCAGGAGGGTATTGAAGGCACGGGGAGGCAGGGAGTCCGTGTGTCGGGCATATGCAAAAGGCCTTGCTCCTGCATCGCCCCCACACTAGGCCACCTGCTCCCCACGGCCGGTCCCCAAACGCTTGGCCTCTAGAAAGAGGATGAGGAGGCAGCTCTTCAGCTGAGCCTCTTCCAAAGGGGAAATCGCTGCTGTTTTATTTCTGCATAGTTTCGTCCTGAACTTAATGGCTGTTTGGAGATGGCATTTAAATGTCAATGGTGAATCAGTTCAAAGGGAAGCTGGGAAAGAGGAGGCTGGGGCAGTGGGTGGGAAAGTCTTTGGAAACTCATGAAGGAGGGAAGAGGCTGCGCCATGAGCAGAACAGAGGCAAAACACAGGATAAAAGAGAAATGGAGAAGCAGCCCTTGTCCCCAAGCCTGGATATCTAGCGGAAATCCTGACACATCCATCCCGGGCCGGGTATTTTCTGTCTTGTATCAAAAGCAGCAAAACATGATCGGCATCCCTCCCAGTCCTCTGGCACTAATTTTCTCTCAAGCTGTCCGAGAGTCTGGAGAAAAGGCAGCCTGAAGCGGGCCAGGGAGGGTAACGAGCTGCGTGCTCCACACGCGTCCCCGAATCGCAGGGGAAAACCGGGGTCTCCAACTCACCATGAAAAATATCCAGGCAGGAATTAGCAAGACAACCGCCGCCGCGCTGGTGTAGAACTGGAGCTCTGGAGCGCTGGGGGGGGGGGGCAGGTGAGAAAGGAAAGCAGATCAGGTATGTATTGCTTTGCTCCCCCAGCAGCCGGTCGTGGGTTGAGGCAGGGAGGGTTTCTGCTTGGGCAACCTGACGGGTACTCACGAGAACCGGTACTTGTCTCCGCTGAGCAGCTTCTTGGAGAAAACGTTCTGCAAGCTACAAAGGGAAGGAAACCACACGCTTTTGTTAGGTGCGGCTGGGGAGGAATCAGGCGGAGGGGCAGTTTTGGGGCAATCCAGGAAAGCTCAGGACACATTCCGACGCAGAGTTTGGCGGAATGAAGCACAGGCTGAGCCCGGATGCAAGTAGCAGGGCTTCTTCTAACCCGAACCCGGGCCAAACAAGGGCTCCCGGGCCTGATTTTAAGAGAGCCCCCACGCGATCTAAGCAGATTCTGGCGGAAGCAAGCTCTCCCTGGGTCAGAAGTCCCCTGGGTGGGGGGGAAGAGCAAGAGGAAGAGAATGAGGGGGTCTGGAAGGAAGGGGGCTGGGAAATGGGGCTGGCAGAGAGAGAGAGAGAGACAGAGACAGAGAGAGAGAATGGGGGTTCTGGAGCCAGAGGGAAAGAAATGCAGAAGACTAAGAGAGAAATGGGGGGGGTGGAAAGAGAAAGAAAAAGCGAAAGCAAGAAGTAGCCCCGCCCACAAGTGGCTTCCGCCCCACCCACTGCCAGGATGCTCCGGCCAATAGAATACTCCCGCCGCCTGGGAATGCAGCCATTGGCAGGATGAACAGGTTCCCTGCCCCTTCTGTTTGCAGCCCCAGCATGGGGGGGGGAGGCTCCCCGCCCCCCCAGGATCCCTGGCAAGTGTGCAAAGACAAGAGTTTCCCAGCCTCACCCGAAGACGCTGGCCCTCCGGAGCACCACGCAAGGACTCTACCACCCAGCTACAGCCCTTCCCCACAAGCCCCCGTTTTGCGGCCGGGTTCCACGAGCGCTGCGGCAGCGGACAGCCAGGCGAGGACGCGACATCCCTGCCCGGCCAGCGCCTCCCCCGGAGCCTCCGGCGTCCTTACCAGTCCATGATGTTCGTGGACAAAGCCGCCGAAAACCCGAGGAAGTTGAAGCTCAGCTCCGTGGCAGTGCAGAGAGCAAGGCCGCTCATCACGGGCACGAGGGAAAGGTTCACGAGCAATCCTGGGCCGACCGGGGCCGGAGGGGGAAAGGGAAATGACAGGCAAGGTTTCAAACCGTGGCCCTTCCAGAGCCGGGCCAGGCCCTCGCCCTCGCGGCTCCACGTTGAATCGGCGGCTCTCGGCTCGCCTGTTTGCTACGACGCCGGATGGACGAAGGGGCCTCTCTTCGCCCAGAGCAACCTTTCCCACCTGCTTCCCTGGGGCTGCGGGGAACTACAAGCCCCATTTTCCCCAGTGGGCAAGCAGGAAGGCCGAGAGCTTCCTCCCCAAAGTTCTGCAGGGGGCCACGTTGGGACGGGCGAAGGCGTCTGCACCCGTGCGATGTGGCGGGAGTCACTGGCTAGATCCACCCATCTGCACAAGCCTGGGACGCACGTGCCACGAACGGCAGAGGGGCTGGAGGCCCGAACATAAGCAAAGGCTAGAATGCACGCTCAGAGCTGTCGCACGCCCAGGGTCCACGGGGACGTGGCACACGTCCTGTTTTGGACATGCACAGGGCGGGCGTGTCATGAGCGGAGCCGGCTGGAGCCGGGGGTCAGACTAGATGGCCCGGGAGGCCCCTTCTGACTCGCTCTGTCGCCATGCTGTACACGCAGGGACACATCACCGCTCGCCACGCTCCCTCGGCATCCCCCGCACCCTCTGGTTCAACTCCGAACAGCCTGCGGGAAACAGGCTTTCGCAACGGCTCCCCATGATGCTGTGCAGCATTTCGGGAGGGCTTGGCCTTGGGTGGGCGATATTTGATCCCCACTCAGGTGACAAAAACACCTGTCCCGAGCAGCTGAAAACTCCTGGCAGCTCCCGTTGCCACGCATCCACAAAGCACTCTGCATTATTGGGGTCCCTTGTTATCTGCGGTCCCGGCTAGGCGTGCCAGGAAGGACAGCACCTCTACCAGCACGGACAGCTCCTGGAAAGCTCAGGATAACAGCTGCAATGCATGAGGAACACCCAGCCTCTCCTGCCGCCCACGCCCTTGTCTCTGGGTGGCCTGTTTCCCCACAAACCTCCTGCTCCCAACTACGTAAACAACTGACACCCGGACGCAAACACTGAAATTGGAAGGGACTCGGCAAACACACAGGACAGACGATCACGACTCACACCCGAGTTTTTCAACCCCTTCCGTTGCAGCGGCAACACTTACCAGTGTATTCCCCTAATATCATCCGGGACATGATGACGGTAAAAATGGGCGCGGAGCTTTTAACCGTCTCGGCGAAGGAAACTGCGACGTTCTTCAGACTGACCAGGCCCAGGACCACCGTTGCAAACCTGGGAAGGAAAGGGGGATAAAGTCGGAAACGAGACATTTTTCGTTAATGCGGCAGACAAACTGCCTTGCTGTGAATCTTATCTGCAGCGTGGAGAACACCCTTTGCGTGCAAGGTGCACCAACACGTATCTCAGAAGACAAGCCCTTGATCAGAGCGTCTCATCTTTCACCAAAAGAGCAAAAACAGCCCCCAGGTTTCTAGTCCATATGGATGCAAAGAAATACCAGAATGTTTGAGCTCAGGTTCCCCAGCAGCCTGCTCTGTTTTGAAAAAACCAAACCAGTTCAAAGACAATTTCCAATGCTCCTGCATTCTGGCACTTCGAAGCGCCGTACAGATTGGTTAGCAGAGCAGAACGTTGGGTTGGAACACAGGAGGTCCGGGTTCTAGCTGCCACTTGGCCCTGCAGCTCCTGAGTGACCTGGGGCCAGGCACCGACTCTCAGCCCACCCAACCTCGCAGGGCTGTTGTAGGGATCAAATGGAGCGGGGGCTGGGTATGCTACCCTGGGTTCCTCGCACAGAAAAAGGAAGGTCAGAACGAACGAATGAATGGATGGATAAAATCTAAGGGAAAAGCAGGGGATGCATAAAACCGCATAGGGGCCGATCGGAGCCACGGAAGACACCGCCGCCTACCTCATCAGTCCCACAAAGAGCATGATCATGATGAAGTTGGGGGGGGTACGACGTGCGCGTCTTGTGCTGGTACAGGCAGCAGGGGACGGACAGCTTGATGCAGCCAATGAACGTGGTCGACAGCATTTGAACGGCCCCTGCAGGGAAGGCAAAGCAGAGCCGGCCGTTGCGATCCACCGCGGGATCAGGCCCGCCAGGCCGGGAGGTTTCCCGTGCTCCGTTCAGGCCAAGCCAAAATACGTGGCATCAGAACAGGGCACCAGGGAAGTTCGCTTCCCGGCAGCAGCTGGGAAGACGGCAGACGGAGCAGGGAAATCTGAAGGGCGTGGCACATGGGACTGGTGATCCTGCGAACTGGTAAGTGCCGGGGCTGCAGCCCTGCGGGCCCTGATTCCACAACTACACTGCTCAGTCCTGCAGCTTCCTTCGACGATCGCAATGCAATTTTAATTTATGTCGTGAGATGTCCTGGTTTCTGTTTGAAGTAACAGCATAAGACTTGCAGAAGGGTTAAAATCTATATATAGTAAGCCCAAAACAACCCACAGTTCAATAAGCCCTACTCAAACCCTGATGCGGGTTATTGTGTTGTCTGAACCCAGCCAACCCTATGAGCCAATGAGGTGTAGTGGTTAAGAGTCCAGGACTGGGACTCAGGCGATCCGGGTTCTAGTCCCTGCTCAGCCATGAAGTCCAGTGGGAAAATTTGGGCCAGTCGCCCAGCCTACCTCACAGGGTTGTTGTGGGGATAAGATTGAGAGCAAAGGAAGAACACTATAACCCATTTTTAGTTCTTTGTAAGAGGAAAGCTGGGATATACATCTAATAAAGACATGGATGTGTTTGTTTTTAAACCTCCTAGAGGAAACAGAATCCCAACGGAAAGTGAGAAAGTGGCTTTTTCTTATTTTTTAGGAGGAAGAAATAGTACCTAGCATGCTCGGCTCGCCCTCCAGCAGCGACAGGATGTATTTATTCAGAAAAAGCGTACAGAAGCTGAAGAAGAACCACAGTGTGAGGTAGATGAGTGCGTGCGAGTTCCATATGCCCAAGTCCGACTCGATAACTGTTGTCTCCGTGACCGTGATCTTCAAAACGTTCTCTTCCGGCACGCTGTCGCTTCTCGCAATGACAAACTTTTCGGTCCGGGTGCCGAAGAGAGAGCCCAGCTGGAGAAGCCCTTTGTGTTTGGGGTTCCCCTCCGGGAGGAGAGGAGAAGTGTCGGCCGCACCAGCCTCGTTCTCCGGACTCGGGCAGCTAGTGAGGGCAGCCATCCCGAAGGGCAAGATCGGCGCCTGGATTTGAATCCAACGGGCATCAACCAAACACAGCGCTCCGTGCGCCCCAGTAGTCCAGAGGCGGCCTTCCCGAATTCCTTGCGCTGGTGGATAATTTTAGAAGCCTTTCCCCCCGGAGTACTCTTCCAGTCCCTGGATTTGAAAATGAAAAAGCAACAACTTATAAATAAAGCAGGGTTAAGGCAGGTGAGGAGGGACTGGACTTTCGTGTCCCGAGTATCTCAGTGAAATGCATTTAAAAACAACAAAAATGCAGCTGGAATAATGATGAAAAAGCCTCCCTGGATTGCCAGCATTCGCAGCTAGCAGGGCTGAGGATAATGGGGATTGCAATCCAGCACAGGTGGGGGATCTTTGGTTGGGGAACCCCAACTGAGAGAGCAAATCTTAAGTGGTGTAAAGCTGGAGCTCTTTCCACCAAGGGATTAAAAAGTGTGGGGAAATAATGAGGCTTTGGCCCGGTGCTGAGATACTGATGGAGCTGCTGCCAGTTGGGCACGGTATTCTACAACCAGGGTGCCACCACTGAGCAGGCGCGCTCCCTAGCAACCTGTCTCACTTCGGATGCTGAAGGGACCCGTAGATGGCGTACTACTGAAGATTTCCAGGTCTGGGAAGGCCAGAACTACCTCGCAGGGTTGTTGTGCAGAGAAAAAGGAGAGGCAGAGCACCTCATAATCTGCTTTGGGTTTCCTGCCAGAAGGAAAAAGTGGAATATAAATGCAAGGTAGTGATAATAATAATAAATATGAAGACAGGTGAAATCCTTCCAATACTCGTCCTAATCCCTGAAGGATGAGAGCCAGTGTGGTGCAGTGGTGAAGAGCATGGGACTGGGACTCAGGGGATCCGGGTTCGAGTCCCCGCTCAGCCATGGAGCCAACTGGGTGACTCTGGGCCAGTCACAGACTCTCGGCCCAACCTACCTCACAGGGTTGTTGTTGTGGGGATAAGATGGAGGAGGAGAACGATGTAAACTGCCTTGAACCCTATGTAGGAAAAAGGCAGGCTATAAATCGAAAAATAAATAAAATAAATAAAAAAGGACACAAAAGGTCAAAGCCAGCACTGAAAACCAGGCCTGAGAAATCCAACGCCGCCCCCAAAACTCAGAGTGCGTCCAAAGTAGCTGCAATCAGAGCAGTCTCCAAGCTTCGCCCCTTGTGCACTGCATTACAGTAGCCTAGTCTGACACAACAACAGCTATTACGGTCCATCCCAGCTGAGGAAGAGGCAAGAAAGAGAACCAGCGCAAGGACTACCCCCAAATCAGCAGATTCGCGGAGCATCAGCTCTCAGAGAGCCAGGAAGCCTGAATCATGCCAAAAACTCACCCCCCCCCTTGGACAAAACAGACACCCACCTTAAAGAGTTGCTCCAGAAACGGAGGAGAAACCGCCTAGGGGTTCTTTGGACCGACACTGACGAGTTTTAGTATGACTTCTTGGAAGCGGAGGGGGAGTTTTCTTTTAATATGTTACGGTGAAATGCAGAGCAATCATTCAAATCATGTCTTTTCATCTAAACAGTGTTTTAAAATCAGCAGCTTTTAACTTTCAGTCGCTCGTTTTGTTTTGTGAGTTACTGTTTTGTCTTATATATTATTCTGTTTTAATTAATTAATTAATTAGAAGTGGTTGTGGTTTTAATTGTTCTTTTAAACACTGTATGCCGTCCTGAGATCTTTATATAATAGGATGGCATATAAAAGCATAAACAAACTTTCTTGCAGTCAGAGAGAGGGTGAGAGGGATGGCGACGTGGTCCCTGATTTGGCCAGGATGCGTAAAAGAGCGAAAGCAGTTGCTGAGATAGAAAGCAAGCTGGAGCGAAATGGCTCCAGAAAAGGGTACGGCGTTTGGACAGGCGAATCTTTGAGAAAACCTTCTGGTGCTTCTACAAAACTGCATTTTCTGCATTTTCCCCTTTTCTGCCCAAGTGCTTCCCCATGAAAATTCAGCTCAGCCCCAGTGCTAAACGTCATTCTGCTGTGACGTATGGTGGAGGTCTCTCCCTGCAAAAAGTTTCCTTTTCCCAAATATTTCCATGGAAATGTTTCTCATGTTGTGATTAGAATCATAACAAATGGATACAATGTCCTACAGATCAGTCAGTTTCTAAATGGTGATTGTTTTTGTTTGATTGTTTGCAGGGAACTGGCCCTCAGCGATGCAAAACAAAAATGCAACACGCTTATTTGGATTCTGCAAAAATGCACACGCAACCCATGAGCTCTGCTAAATTTGATATCATTTATGTATTCAAAGCATTTGGATGCCACCCAGTCATGCCACGGAACCTGAGGGTGGCTCATAATTACAAGATAAAAACACCATAAAAAGCGGTAACGCATTAAAAAATAAGCAATAAAATAAAATACAAGCAGATTATGTGACTCTTTGGCATCTTCAAAAATATCCTTAACTTTTAAACAAGGGAAGTGCTTGTCATGAAATTATCATCTCAAAATATTCTAGAAAATCAGTTTTCCCAAGTAAAACTTTGCTTTTCTTAGAATACATATCATTTTAGCCAAACTAGCAGAGCAAACAGATTCACTCAAGTCAGTTCCATGGTATTCCATGGTATTCTATTGCATTTACTCCCAGGTAAGTAGGAACAATATTATAGCGTAAAGATGGAATTTCTCACTCTTTCCTGGGACTGGGAATAAGTCCTCTTTAATTCAGTGGAGTTTACATCTGTGTAGACGTGCAGGATCCTAGTGCGTGTTTTATTCTCCTATCAAATATTTTGATCTAGGTATTTTTGGCTGTTAGAGGGACAACATCCTCTTTGGAAATAAAGGACATCTAAAATTTTCTGATGAATAGTTTTGCAGAAAATTCACGTCCCCCTTTATAGTCTTTTTGCCCAGCTCCCATTTCAAAGCTCACAGCAGGTCAATTAAAAATGGCCTTCAGACAATTCAGAGTTAATGTTTTGAAATATTTACCATTTAATATCCTTGGCTTTTCAGCAGATCATGCAACGGGAACTGGGAAGCCAGCAGCTTGCTGAACTTTAATCTGCTTTTTAAACTGGCATTGGGCCAGAGAGAAAAAGACAAGCCAAAGATCGGATGCCACGTATTTTGAATGGATCTCCTCTCTCTTGCCAGAGTGTGTGTTTTAAAAAAAGAACAGCAGAGGAAGTCGAAAGCAAAGCTCTGTGGTTACGGTGCTGCAGAAAACAGTTCCCACCCCAAAAGGGAACATTTCAAATTGAATCGACTTTGACTGATCAGGGGAAATTAGCATCATCCAGAAATATAAAAACAGAAGGACATTCCAGTAAGGTTCCCCTACCGATGTCTCCTCTTTTCATGCAGGTGCACTGTGGAAAAGAGAGGGGCAGGTTTCTAGAATCCAAGCACATCACCAAAATTAAAAGACAGGGGAAAAGAGAGGAGATGAGATTGAGTGTCAGCCTCCCAGACAACTCAGGTAAATTTGATCAAAGCTGGTCTCAAGGAGTTGTCGCCCAGAAAGCCAACGTTCGGGAGATCATAGGCCAGGTATCCTTAAAACTACGAGTGATCTGTAATCAGAAGCACCTGCCTGATGCAACCTGGAAGGACTGGTTTGACCTGAGGCTTTGAAGATCCTACCACGGGGTTCGGATTGAACTTCTGCCTACCTCTGCTCAAAGCAATAGTGGGGGGGAAAAAAAACGGGCCAGCAGAAGAGTAAACTGGTCTTCTGTATTCCTTCAGGAAACTCCCTGAAGACCACCTGCCTCAACACAGCGAATTCTAGATGCATGGAACTACATCTCCCATCATCCCCAGCCAGCCTGGCCATTACCGGCCGGCACATCTGGAGGGTGCTAAAAAGGCTGCTAAAAGCACCGCCAGCTTCTAGGTTTCAGTCCCAAATACCCTTTAACTAAGGCTGCTAACCAGCAAGTCGTTTCCCCTTCACTATTTCTTTATATTTAAAACTTGAATGACATGTATTATTGTTGTAAATATTTATATACCTCTTTATTTCTAAAAATATGTCAAGGTGCTGTGCAACGATTTAAATCAATGCTTTAAAGTGGTTGCACGAACAGCTGTTCCCAAAAAGCTGATACTGGTTTGGATTCGCTTCTCAGGCTCAGGTCGAAGTGATGCTTTTCTGCCTCAAAGCGCTGAATGGCTTAGGAACGGGCTACCTAAATCAGTGTCCGTGGAGGGGTCGCATCCTGCTTGCCAAGGAACACCATGGGGCCTGGCTGTGCTCCACCACCTCGTCCTGCTTGGCATTGCATTCCTGGGGAGACACCGATGCCGCCAGGGAGGGGAGAGATGGCTCAGGAGGAGCCACGCTGCACTGATTTTATGATTTCGTTCTCGTGTTGACATTTTTGTTGCTCAGTTTCTGGTTGTTTGGAGAATGCTCATGTTCTGGGCATTGCGTAGGGAAACTAATACACAGAACACTATATTCTGTGCACGGTGCTTTTTGCTTCTGCCTCAGTGGTACCCGAGGTGGCTTTCTTGTCCTCGCCAGTCCCCCGCTGTGGAAAGCTTGAAAACCACAAATCTAAATGACCACCATGAGTCTGCCTGTATATTAAAGATCTGCAGATCTCTTGCATTGCTCCCAAATTGTGAAATGCATTCTGCCAAAGATCATCAAGCGTAAAGATGTCTTGCTGGAGAGCAAAGCCAGGGTGAGCCACATGACTGAATTCTCCATCTCTCTGGATGGGTCTGAAAACTGGACAGCAGAGAGGGAAGTGAGGCAGGATGTGGCCTCCGGAGACCCAGTACTTTGGAGCCGGGCCTGTCCAAAACCCAGTGGCCCCCAGACCATGTTGAGAAGCCAAAGGTTATGTCCTTAAGCTGTTAAAAATTCTGTACATCTGTTTTTATTGCCGTTGCTTTTGCTGTGTTAAAGCATTGATTTAAATCGTTGCACAGCACCTTGACATATTTTTAGAAATAAAGAGGTATATAAATATTTACAACAATAATACATGTCATTAAAGTTTTAAATATAAAGAAATAGTGAAGGGGAAAGGATTGGATTAGCAATAATGATACATGGTATCAAAAAGCATCCTTCACTCTTAGGAATTCTTACTTATACAAGTCTGTAGAAGCACAAGTTTATGAAAGTATAATCAGACAATCCTACACAAGTTGAGACGGGAAAAAGGTGTTCAGCTCTTAGTAATCCTGGATGAGGTTCACTGGGGAGCTTAAGGTTCTTTTTCTGTCTCAACTTGCAAAGGAATATATCCATAGCTTTCCAAATTTACAAGCAACATGAAGCTATTTTCATTTCGGCATCCCCTTTTTAATTTATTTATCTTTCGATTTATATCCTGCGTTTTTCCTACAAAGGGCTCAAGGCAGCTGACATCATTCTCCTCCTCCATCTTATCCTCACAACAACCCTGTGAGGTAGGTCGGGCTGAGAATCTGTGCCTGGCCCAAAGTCCCCCAGGTGGCTCCATGGACGAGCGGGGACTCGAACCCAGATCCTCTGAGTCCCAGTCCCGTGCTCTTAACCACGACACCACACTGGCATTATTTTAAAAGTTAGCTGAGTTTTTAAGATTGGGTTTTATCTACTCTAATTTGGATGTTGTGTCCTATTTATTTATTTTATTGTATTACTGATAGGGTGAAGGGCAGGAGATAAAAGCTTTAAATAAATATCTCTTGGCAAAGTGGAGGCTTGGGTCTGTCCACAAGGGTGAACATCCAAAGTTATGGATTATTTGAGTTTGTATGTATTTATTGGATGTCAATTTTTAAGCTGTCCGGAGACCCGCAATGTAATTGGACGGGATAAAAATACCCAAATAAATAAATAACGTTGACTCATCCCAAATCGGACCATCTACACAAGAATTGCCAGCTCTCTGAGCGTGCTGGGATCAGCAAAGCGAGCAATTCTGTAGGCCGAGAAATCAAAAATGACCTTCTGTTTTCTGCATAGGACAAACAGTCCAATGTCCTCCACACCCACACACGCAAAGACAGACAGACAGACACGAATCTGACATCAGAAATCCAGAAATTGTTGGGAGAACTTTTCCATCTGCATAACACTTCGTAGCAGCGGTCTCCAGGAGAGAAACCCTAAAGGAAGGGGGATGAGGCTGTATCTAGATTAAATTTATTTACGTTTAAATAGAAACCTTGTCTCACTACAACAGTTAATGAACACAGGAAAGCCAGGATGCTGTATCTTTTTTACAGATATATACAATTATTTCTGGGTTGCCTTCTGGCCCAGGTCAGGCCTCCAAGTGACTTGCTTAAAAGTTTAAAACAAATGACAGACATCGAAACATCAAACCATAAGCAGCGAGTTATTGGCTTTGCCACAGTGTTAATTCTGCAAAGTTTCAGCTTCAGGGAAGCTGACATTCAGCCATACTTTCATCCCCACGACCCTGTAGTTAGCGGGTATCTTCCACGACATCTACACACCCCTGCCAAGTTTCTGATCCCGCGGGCTCCACTCTGCAAAAACTTACACAACAACAAGGACAATTCTAGGCTGTTTGTTCTCCGAATTGCAAAGTGCGATCTTCAGGGTGGAAAGAGAACTGATTGAGAAGTTGGCTGCTGTTCCTTTGGGCGAACTGAGATTCCTATGCTTTGAGGGGGGTGGGGGTCAGTGTCCTTCCATAGGGGTTGCAACCAGGACATCCCGGGTTATTCAGAGATATTGATCCCTTTTAAGGCTGGATGGGTAAGAATGCTTGTGATTTAATAAGCAGGGTTGTACGGCTAAGCCCCCTACACACCCCCCCACACACACACACCCCCACAAGCGCGCGCGCCCGTGGAAGGACCTCCGGCTCGCCAAAGCTTCGCAGCGCGACGCGAGGCGCCGTTGCGCGCCCGGTTCCGGCCCCGGCCGAGGGCGCTGCAGCGTCCCGGGCCGCCGACCGGGGCGGAGGGGCCCCGGCTAGCGGGGGCGCGGGGGTCCCGGGCGGCCCCGCTCCGCGCGGGCGAGGGCGCGCCGCAGATCCGGCGCCGGGCGCAGCGAGGGCGCAGTGCGCCACTTGCTCCGCGGGCCCCGCGCACGGC